AAGACCATAAAAAAAAACAAAATGAGGGAAAAAATTAACACAACTGAATTTGTACTAATTTGTACCATTGAAAGTAAGTTAATATTTTATATGTTTTTTCTCCTTAAAATGACTTTATTAGTATATACTTACAATCTATTCTACTTCAAATCGTGCACCTTTGAAACATCACTTTATTTTTTTTTAATTTGCTAATATATTCTACACATAACATATTCTACAAATAATAATAAGACACGTGTTTCGTGAGAAAAATGTGAGATATTTTTGTAAAGTTATTGACGCTTGTAAGTTGCGTAAATTTATAAAAAACATCGTTCACGGAACATTCAAATTATTATATCGTCGAAATAATTAGTCGTACAAAAAAATGTAAGATTTTCCGAGATTAAAAGTCCGATTTTAAAGATCTTAAATTGATCTATAGTTGGATTATTTTTAATTTATTATTTTCATACAAATAAATCATTTTCCATTTGTTTACAATTTTTATGAACGTTTTTCATCAACTCATCAATTAAAACATTTTGTAAAAATATCATATTCCCATTTCAATTATGAAGTAACCCTGAAAATTTCAAAATAGAACTCGAATGAACTGTATAGTTAAAAAATTCGAGTTCTATTTCGAAATTTTCAGGGTTACTTTATAATTGAAATGGGAATATGATATTTTTACAAAATTTTTTAATTGACGAGTTGATTTAATTGATGAGTTGATTATTTTTCGATTTGATTCTGCTGAATTGGTCCTGCTAGCTTTATAGAACTATTATAAAGATTAAGTTAGCTCATGGTCTGTTTTACGGACAAGTGTGTCGGTTTACGCTGCACCCCAATTTTAAATTAAAAATCGTATTATAAAAAGATTAAGAGAAAAAATAACATAAATAAAACTTATTTCGGAAACTACAAGTATTTAAAATGACGTAATATTATCAATAATATAGTCACTATTATTTAAACTTCAGAATTTGCAAAAGAAAATCGTAAGAATTTTATTTTCTCATTTGTAGAATTCGTTTTTAGCGCATTTAATATAGAAACAAGCCACAATACGAATTATGAGTTTGTACTTCTTTAATTAGCTAAACAGATCATAATTTTATTAATATTAATAAAGTGTAATAGTTAGTTTCCGAAAAATAAGGGGGTGTCACTTTAGGAGACCTATGTCAGTATCGGCGACTTTCCTCTAACGATTTAGTAATGACGAATATTGTTATGACAGTAAACGGTAACATCAGGGTTGGAAAGTCACTCAATCGTTACTTGTAATAGGTTGGAAAAATCATTCGTTACTGAAAAAAATAATTTGTCACTTATATCGCGTTACTTTTTACTTGTTACTTGTAACATATACATTACGCGCTATTGATCGTTAGAAATAACTTTTTTAAGTAAGTAATAGTAAAATGTTATTTTTAAAAGTGACTTTTCCAAACTTAGCACAACTTTAATGTGTAATTTTATATATATATATATATATACCGACCTAATGATAACTCCACAAAGCAGAGAATTTAATAAATTAATATATTTTGGAATATTTATCACAAATTTAAAATAGATAAAGGTCATATTGGTTTCAAATATAGTATAATTAAGAATTTCCTCGACTGCCTCGGTTACAGAAATGAATATAATCCATCCGATTATTATTCGAATTATCCAATCACGCAACCGTTGATATTCCTTCGATACTCCGAGTGCTTCCAATGTGTTGTCCACTATAGACAGTTCATGTAAGCACATTTTCAATTCCTTTAAAACATATTGATTGATTACGCGACGCAAAAGTAAATTGTTATAATCTTATATTTGAAGCGTAATAAATGTATCTTTGATCATATTTTATATAATGACGCTGAATATTAGATGCTATTTTCAACGTTATTTTTAAAATGTAATTATATAATTATAAACAAACTATATAAAAGTTGTGTTCATAACTATTTTGTTGAACAACATATTTTTATAGTTTATTTATTTATTTTATTTGTTACTATTTTTTCTGTTATAAACTAAAATTTAAAGATTATGACAAAAATACAAATTTTTTAAAATAAATACTTCAAGTATTCAGAATAATTCATACAAAGTTTCATTGCGATTCACTAATTAGTTAGGAAGATTTAAAATAAATAAATATTCTGTTTATTTACTGGACAATTAGTTCATGTATCGCAATGTAACTTTAAATATATAGGAAATAAAATTACAACGTAACTTTAAATAAATAATCTTGAATACAGGAAAAACTTATATTAAAAAACTAAGATTTGTCATTTATTTTATAATACATTTCTATTAGAGCACAGATTGAAAAAAACTATTATTTAAAAAATTACATATATATGTATACATATATATGCATATATATGATCCAGATATTACTTTTAAATGTGATTTAGAATAACCTGTAATTTTTTTATATATAATTTTGTTATCATTTTATGTATCTACAAAACATTATGTATCTCCTTAAGAAATTTTACAAAATTAACAAACATTAGAAACATAGGATATATTTTAACACTCTTACCTTCGAATAAAAAAAACTAAGAGGGATCGATATAAGCACGATAATCAATATTATTATTTGATGAAAACCAGAATCTTCTCGAAAAATGATAAACTGGCTGCGGTAAATGAAATACACATAAAAGCTCCATATGGCGGAAATATACAGATAAGAAAGATACCGCTTAGATTGTCCTAAGAAATATTCAAACGAGCCCAAACTGCAAAACGACCCAATTATCAACAATGGTGCTAGTGCTGCCTGTATCGTCTTCATAGTTTCCTTGTCGTCGACTAGAAATTTGAATTTGAATTAAATTGCCACAAGACACAGACGCATTTTAATTTGTTGTGTAAAAATTTCAAAAACAGGTTTATTTTATTTTTGCAGATCCTAGGGACTTCGTAACAATTGCACTGCAAGGTACAGTTGAAAAATAAGGTATGTACATGCTGTTTAACCAGCAAATTGAGCGGTAGAATAAACACTCAGATAATCTAGATTAGATTGTTCTTTTTTTCATTGAATTTTTATTTATATATACATATATGTATTATTTCAAGACACGAACGGTTGTAAACGTGACAATTTTTGCAATATTATGTCTTTTTATATAAATATTTAACTGATGCAATGGTACGCAATTGTATGAGCACTGTGATCAGTTGTTAAAAGCTCTGAATGTCACATTTATAGTTTTCTTCAACATCATCAAATTATTTAACTATTATTTATCTTATTAGTATTTTATGGCTTTCTAAATAATGCTTAATTGTCATGAATAAAGAGATAATCTTAATGTAATGATAAATATGAAAAGAGTAAATTATTTTATATAATATTAGAGATTTAAGATCTGATAAATATCTTCAGTTCCATGATAATAATGAACGTTAAAATTGTTACGTAAAATTGGAAAAAAACGAATCGATTAATTGAGTATGAAAACACTCATTTATTGAAACGCAGAACTATGAGATAAGCTAGACAATAGAAATTACTATACTTGATGTAAATACACAAGCAATGTAAAAATAGCAATTTTGATAAAGAAAATGTTAAAAAAATAATTTTCTGAATTCTTATATGATATAAATACGGATGTATAAATATATAATGTACTTTGTATATTGATGACATTATATTAGAAAATCATATATGTAATAACGAAAGAAAGAGTTAAATCGCAATTGTAATTTAATAAAATTCTAAAACTACCATATTAATAAATGTATTACCACGAGGCCACTGGTGAGGTGAGATGGGACGTTAATAATAAGATCGCATTAAAATAAACATAAACGATATGGAATAATTTAAAATACAAGTAAATAGTACAAGTAAAAAATTTATTCATACATCAATGAAGTAAATTTTATTAGATATATAATACTGCATATAGATAAGTATATAATAATATTAAACCATGACTTGCTTTGTATCTAAAAATTTCTGAAAATAATGAATGTGTCTGTACAATTCATCCGTTCGTGTTCTTATCTTTCTGTTCACAACTGTAGAGACGTTAAAAGGAAAATGTTTAACAAAAGAACTTATCTGAAACAAATTATATGTTGACGATCTCATTAACACAATTCCATTTATTCTTATAAAACATTATTTTTCATAGCACATGAGAAACAATTATTGAATTTATCCAAAAAGTAATTGCAAAAAGAAAATCGAATTAGAAAATTGTGGAATAGAATTGTGACAATGAAAAAGAATTTGTGGATAAGGCATAGAATTTATTGATAAAGAAGAGACAAAATAATAAAAGAATTTTGGAAAAGAATTGAGAAAATGTTTCTCTTTAAAAGGGGAGAAGTAGCAGAAGTAAAATGTTCATAAAAGAAGAAAAGATAAAAAGAAATTATTATAAAGGAATTAAAAGGAATCCTAATAATGAAGACTGAAAAGAAAAACAACGAAGAAAAAACATTATATAATAGAAAATATATACTACACTTATTTATATTTATAACATTTACTTGGAAAAGATGGTTCTCAAAGTGTGAATAATTAATCATCTCTGCTAAAGCTACCCTCCTATCGATTTCTCTGTAAAAATGAATTCTGAAGGTAATTAATGACATATTCACATACCTTTTACACATAAATTTTTATGATCTTAATACATGTTTATAAAAAGAATATTGCGTTACCTGGGTACTATTTCTTCAAAATTTTGTAGTATATACTTAAAGACTAAATCATTGTCTATATGTTTTGCAATAATAGAATGAAAAATTACAATGCACTGCTTTACATCAGTAAAATATCTCAACTTCAAAAGATTGATATAGCCGATGATGATAGTATCAGATTTAGAGCACGCTAAAAATTCTAAAAGTTGATTGTTTAATGGTGTTTTTTTCTCATTCAACACTTTGTTCCAAGTTATATTATTCGCTTTCATTATTCCTTTACAATAAGTCCATTCCTTCCATCCCGGAAAAGTTCTAAAACATTTCGTAAAATACGAATAGAAATTACAATAAATAAGTTTCTGTTACTTTATATTAATTTATTTTATATTTTGAGAACTTATTCTGTATTAAGAATTGCTCTACATAATTAGAAGAAGCATAATTATAAGAAAATTACTGATGTAATTTTGACTTTTCGTATAACCGTATCAAATCAAAAGTGGCAACAACCATACATTCTTGAGAATTCAGAACACATGCCCATTTTACGGCTTCGTGCCTTAAGCATTTAGTAAAATCATTGTCATTCTTCAAGTCGACGTAGCCTATGTTACAGAGAAGAAATACCAAGATTTTCCGGAAGTGTTCCTAAAATAAAAAAATAAGTTTAATTTTATATATATTTGTACTGCCTATTAATTGTTACTTATGGAAAGAGGTGTCAAATATGATCGTAAGATTTAAAACGATTCTTTGTATTTTTATTCTTTATCTTTCAATAACTATAATAAGATATATTTTTTTAATTCTTCGGCCTATTTCTTAAAACGTAAAATATGAGTTTTTAAACATTTTAAACTTATAAAAATATTTTAGAAAAATTAAACATTTTTAAATTAATTTCGTACATTTTTTGGTGAGATAAAATAATTTTTATATGAAATTGTTTTTTAGAACACTTTTACGAGTATTTAGTTTAGTTTAATATTTGTAGAGAAAAAAGCTAATATAATTGTGAAAAATTGCATCTGAATTTAAAATCAGACAAGACATTCTGTATCAGCTACTAGCATTGTCACTTCTGTAACTCAGACAATACGCATAACTAAAATCAGAACTTAAGAAGTCTTATAATATAAGATCTAAAAAAACATCTACATGACATCTTTGAGATGTCTTACGGTCCGATTTTGGACAGGGTGCTGTCTAGGAACAGATTATTAAATTAATACTTATAATAAATTAATAATAAATATATTGCATATAGTTGTTGTTTTAAAATAATTTTGTAGAATTCAAAATAATCGAAATATCATCACGACTGGAAATAATATCTTTTCGCTTTCAAATATTGTACATTTAATCCAAATAATGTAACTATCATAAAAAAATATGACTTAATTCACTTATTTTATTTTTATAAAACTTTAATTTTTTAAATATGATTCTGATATTTTATGCACAATTTAATTGGACAATTAAAATTATTGCAAAGATTTGCTAGTAATATTTATTGTTATCTACCTTGACTCTGGTACTTTCTGAAAATGGGAAAAAGCCCGATATATTTTCTAGAATTTTGAACATAGGATACCACGCTACATAATTTGTCTCATTAGACAGATAGTAAGTGAGTTGTTTGAAAAAACTGTACTCCAGTTTGTTCCTTAATAGAAAGAAATACGCGTCATCGATGATTTGAGCACGATTGAGTACATGTATGTTCATATATTCCGTTGAGTTTAAATATCTTGCAAGTTTTTCCCAATTATCGTTGTCGTAATTAATACGATAATATCCTGTCGTGTATAATAAAACAAACTTCGTGATTAAATATGTCGAATATATAAAATTTATGAAATATAATATAAAAGCACTATTTTATATGTTAATATTCACCAGCTTGTTGTACGTTAATAATGATCCAATCATCTTCTTTAATAGTCAATTCTAAACATGACATGTTCGGACTCAACCATTCTTCCCTTGTATAATTGAAAGAGTTTTTCGTAACATAAGTCACATGTAGCCACATATTTGTCGGATATAAGTTATTATAATAGTCTTTCTGTAATGTTATTATAACTTTGTTTCGAGAAACCTTATCTCGTATCATCTGTAATATAGGATAACGTTCTTGCATCGTCCAATGATACAATCTAACTGCCAAATTTAGATCATCATTTGGTTCATTTACGGCTTTTTTGAGAACATTGAAGAAACTGTCGATAGTGTCATCCCAAGTATTGTCGGATCTAAGCTGACTAAATTTGTACAGTTTAACTTTAAAGGTTATAACAAATTGCATCCCTTGTGAAAATAAAAATCGGAGCGTAAGTCGAACGTACTGGCAGAGTAATAAATGCGTAAACGAAGTTTCTAAGAGTCAAAAATTAAAACAACAAAATGTAAAAAGAAGCGTAAATGCCTCTTTTAAATTTTGTTATTTCAATTTTCTCCTCCTAGAAGTTTTATTTACGCTTCTGTTATTTTTCTCTTGCATTCGATTTACGCTCCGATTTTTATTTTCGCCAGAGATTGAAAAATATAATATCGTTATTCAAGTACAATTTTGTACATATATTATACATATATAATTTCATACGACGTCCAACTATTAACAATACTGATTAATATGTTTGATTATATACACAATGTGAAATTATTATATTACGTTTATCTTATTACTTACTATATGGATAAATATGTATTGAGACTTGCTTGAAATACAGATAAGGATATCGTTTGTAATAATGTGCGTACAAAATTGGGTGCTATAAGAATTAATATTATTATTAATTTGAAACAGTATTTAATATAATTTAATTACAGTTTTTACAAATTTGAAAAATGTCGTTTATTCGCAGAAAAAATGTTTTAAATTCAATAATGTATATGTATTTGGTTTCACTACAAAAATGTGTGTTATGATAAAACTAATATAAAAAATAAATTGTAGACAAATTTGCTATATATGATTAATCTTCCGTATAATTTTTTTATATTTACGTTTGGAAATTATCGATGGATAATTTTTTAACGCTATAATGTTTCTTGTATTTTGAGTCCCATATTTAGAATAAGATTCGTAAACATTCCGTTATTAATTTAGAAGTAACGGTCTTATTTACGCGATTGAAAATAACTTTATTAATTTTTAATAAATACTTTAATGTTTTATAAATTTTATTAAATTTATATAAATTGGTAAGATATTAAGAAACATTAAAGAAACAATATAAATTATACTAAGATATTAAAAAACAATAAAGTAAAATAATATATTAGATTTATTAAATTCAATGTTGAAGTCAGCTTAGCAACAAAACTATATTTACATTTGCTCTTACCTTTCACATAATGAGTTAAAGGGAAAAATGTCGTATTGTCAAAAGACGTATTATTTTTTGGTACAAGAGGCATGTCGTAATGATCATTCAAATGAAGAGACTCATGTTGAAACTGTACTGCGAGTAAATCCATTAATTGAGGGTTTATATACTACAATAATAAAAATTTAACGTAATTATTACGTTTAACTAGCTATTTAATTGGATCATATAACATTATACACTGTTTACTATCAAAAAATAATTTTTTCGCTGTTTTGTTATTATAATAAAAAATATAATAACATATATATATATATATATATAATTTTAATTCCAGGGTATGATTATTTTCTAAATTAATTTATATTTCTGATTCCATTGAAATTAAAAAAAAATTGAAAATCAATATTTAGTAGACTTAAAAAATAAAAATAATGTATACGAGTTTTCTACAATCTATCAGTTAGCGGTTTTTTTTACTAGTAAAAAAATATTTATAAAGAAATAACCTTGTTGAGAAGCTTCATTGCATAAAACGTAGCAATACCCTCGTTTAACCACAAATAAGACCACTTAGATTGGCTGATCAAATTGCCAAAGAATTGATACACCATTTTATGTGCTACCATACGTGCCAGTTCAAATTTCCGCGCAACAGTATCTAATTTTTCATCGTAAAGAATAAGTGATTCCCTAAAATAATAAAATAACAGTCAAAGATCTTCTTTTGTTATAAGTATTGAAATTATTTTGATCTGATATTAAAAAAAGTCATATTTTTTTATGTGAGGTGTAGGTGATGTACTGTAAATATGCATTGTTCTATATATGCGTTAACACATAGTGCAACAAATCATATATTTTTATTTTTATATAATTGAACTGATCTAAAGTACAATAATGAGCATTTCTTTAAATTTTGCAATTCTAGAAAATTTAATAAAACCAAATTTTTCTAAAACGAAAATTTTACTTTTTAGTATATATAAATAATACCTATATAGAACGAGTCCCCAACTTTCCAAGCCTTCGTCTTTGAAACCAGGGATTACAATATGATCTATTTTACCTGGAATCTTTGAGTTCTTAAATACTCTTCTTAAATATGGTTTGAAATTTTCAACTAGGTTCTGTGCATATCTTATGTCTTTGAGCTGCAAAGACATAAAATGTCGTCCGCACCACCAGTGCCACGTAGAAGAAAAACAAATTGTAGGTTCGGACAATACAATCGCTACCTGATAAGGGGATATTTTATCAGTTGTTTCGAAGTACGTTGTAGCCGCGATATTGTTTCCAAGTGTTTCTATACGTGTAATGTTAACCTTCGCACTCGATAAAGCTATATAACTTGGTTGATGTGTTATGGAAATGGTAAAGTTGGCTCTGAGAGCTGACTCGTCCAAGGACGGAAATATTTGTTGCGCTCCAATCCCTTGGAAATCTGCTGCTACGATTATCCACCTGTCACATATTTTAAGTATTTTTATATCATATCTTATGTTTTCAATTATTTCCGGCATATAAGTATTAAAGCTTGGAAAATGGTGAAACATGACTAAGAGGCAATTGGAGAATGATATATATGTAGCATATTTTCCATTATATAAGTTATTACATTTTTTCTGGTTTTTAATATATTATATAATAGATAGTAATATTTTATATTATATATTTATGTCACGACACGTTTATTATATTTATATTGTTAGTATATGTGCAAAATAATACGTGCATATTTTATGCAAATAACAATTAACATTTTACTTAGCAAATGTTATTAATTCTTTTCGATTTATATACTACTCACTTTTTTTCTCCTATGTCGCTCTTATAAGATATTTTGAAGAAGCCTCCTGTGTTATCAGTTATTGTACCAACAAATTTCATGAGTAAATGATAAGAATAATATTCACACCCTTGTGTAAAAGTATGATCAACAACAATGAAAGCTGATTTATTATTAAATAAACTATGTATCTTTTCCCGATTCAAATGTAAATTTTCATAATCAAAAAAAACTCTTCCCGTATAATATGCTTTTAGGCCTTTTGTATTCACTTCTATAAAATTTACTCCATTTGTAAGATGAAAATGCATAATGGATTCACCATAAAAGATAAAATTGCCTTTCGCTCGTTCATTATCAATATATGTTTTTACTTTTCCTGTATAAAAATCTGTATCTATATAGTTTTCGTTCGTGTATATCGTTAAGTTGATGTGATAGTGTATTAGTTTCAATAATGTCTCTTCAGTTATAGGAATTACTTCATCTGGTAGGATATTACTTGTAACAGTCCTTGCAACAATGACTATTAGACTAGCACTTAATAACAATTTTATCAATTCCATGGTAACCATCATTTCAGGTATCTGTAACAATTAATGTTTTGTTGTCAGAAGAAAGAAGAATACAAACATTGTCCAATGAGGGAAGTTCGCCATTGAAATTTATATACAAAATTTAGCAAATTTATTTGTCAAGAACTCCGAAAACATTAAAGACAACTAGTGTTGCATTCGCATTTAGAATTATTTAGAGTATAATATACTATATTATCTTTAAACAAAAAAAAACAATAGATTTATTTTTATCTCTTACCTCTTACACACACATTAAAATTGCATTTCTGAATAAGATATAATTTCTCCTGAAAATTTACGGTTAAAAATTGATTATTATTAGCAGAAGTATGTTTAAGAAATCAACCTTACACGTCGAGAGTTTACCGAACATTAGCGATTAATAGTTCATAATAAATATTGTGAAAATTTCTTTTTGAAACCATGTGTAACAATAATATAACTGTGTATTGTATAATGTTTACCGATTTTGTCAAATAAATTAATATTATTTGCTCTAAATCCAAAATAATAATTTTTCTCCGGAAATATGCAGTTGATTAAAAAATTTTATTTGTACAATGTACCTATATTTGTAATTTATTAGATTTTTCGATTAAGGTAGAGCAAAGCTAGTTGTGACTTTATTTCAGTTGTTACTTTTTATTCAAATTATTATAAATCTTCATACAATTGTGATATAATAATAAGAATTGCAAACGTTGTGTGTTAATCTGATTCAATAATTAAATACTTATATATAAACATATTTCGTAAATAAGAGGAAAATTTTGTTAATTACAAAGAGGTATAAAGTGGCTCCCACCCATGCGGCATATTGAGCAAAAGTTATAGTTGTGTTATGAAAGCAATTGTTAATTAAATCTTTATTAAAGTCTTATAAACGTTACTATGTTCATCGTTTCCCAAATTTACAATGCTTTGCACATTAAATTTTTTTTAGACCATAATATAAAAATATATGTTTAACTATGATTACTACTATTTCTTCAAATTTCTATAAGATCAATAAATACATTAACGACCATCGATGATATGTATTATTAAAGATTAAAATAGTAAAAAAAATTATCTACTAATTGACAATACGTAATTAAAATAAAAATAATAGTAAAATATAAATGTTTATTGAGATAACAATTTATTTATATATATTTGTAATATTGTTAAATGGTTATTTATTTGGTTTGCAACAAAATTTCTGAAATACTCAAAGTGTGTGTCAACTTCGTATTTTATACTTTTATTTTGTCTTTTTGTTAGCGTATAAACTGATTCTAAAAAAATATTTTCCGACGAAATCGCTTACATAAAATAGTTTATGTCAATATATTCAATTATATAACAATGTATATATATGTACATAACATAAATACATAGATAATTACATAAATACATATAGTATTGTTAAATATAATTTTACTTATAACATTGTTAAACATTAACTCTTTGTCTTTAAAAATCTCTCGAAGTAGCCAATGTGTTCCTGTATTTGTAACGATCGTAATCTTATTTTTTTATTAATGTAATAACTATTAAAAGAAGAATATGCTTTTTCTAACATTTTAAGTTTCACCTGAAACAGAAAATATTAATATTCATTAATACATGATTTATTCTTTTTAAAGCATTATGTTTCACAGCACATTAAATACATTATTTGATCTCATTCCAAGAGTTAAAAAAACAACAGGAAGAAGATCGACAACAATAATTGTGAAAAAGAACCTAGCTAGAGGTTATCAATAAAAAATAGACAAAATTATAGTCGGTTCTTATATATGTATTTAAGCTGATGGCAGAAAGCGAGACGTAACTGTTATAATCGAGGATATAAGAGAAGGCAAAGAAAAATGTACACGTAAATCATGAAAGGCTACTACGTCTGCAATTGTTTGTACCAGCAATAATTTCGAAGAAAATTGATTGAATTGATTAAACTAGCTGTATATGTATATTTATAAAATTTACCTTGTCAATTTGTTCTGTAGAATATATATAATTGATAATGTCTGCCATCATTATAAGCGTTCCAATTTTGCTGTTAAAAATAAAATGCCAGATATAATTAATCAGTAGACATAATAAACTTTTATTTCAATTAATGTGTATTTATAAAATATTGTTACCCGGGCATTATTGATACTACTTTTTCAAAATAGCGTAATATGTGATTGAGTATTAAATCATTCTTCGCATGTCTTGCAATAATAGAATGAAAAATTGTAATGCGATGTTGTTGTTCAGTAAAATATCCATATATCAATCGATCGATATAGCCAACAATGATATCTTCATTTTCGGAGCATGCTAGATATTCTAAACGTTTATTGTCTAATACATCTGCAGTTAAAACTTTATTCCAAGTAATAACGTTTGCTAATATCATTCCGTTACGATACATCCATTCTTTCCATCCCGGCAAAATTCTAGGATGTTTGTTAATCTGTTCTTTAGAATCTAGATGATTATAAATCATGTCTCCTAACGCTACAATCGGATTGGTCTTACTATAAAATAAAATTAAACATTTATTACATCAATTAACTTTTTGTCATTTTTTATATTTTGATAAACAATAATAAATTAAAAAATTCTTGATATGTAAAAAAGAATAAAATTAAGCGAACAGTCACGCACTGCAGTTATTGGAATGCAAGTAACAAATATATATCCATCAATTACATCTTTACATTAGAAACGTTTCAGCTCCATTTTGGGCCATCAATAGTGTGTAATTGATATGAGAGTTCTTAAGTATTCTAAACTCCAAGCTAAAACACACTACACTTCTAGTGTATCTCAATCTTTATATGTAATCAAATCAATTGAATTAAAATTGACTCAAACCTGTTAATGGTTGACGCAAACCTTGCCTACTTAATTTCTTTCTTTTTTTATATTTTGATAATTTGTTCTACATTGAGATTGATTAGAAAAATTCTAATTAAAAGAAGTATTATTCATACGGATCTGGCTTTTCGTAAAACCGTATTAAATCAGAAACAGCAGTAATAGTACAGTAGTAAGACTTCAGAATGCATGCCCATCTTGCGGCTTCTAATCTTAAACATTTAGTAAATTTATTTTCCTCTATAATGTCTAAATATCCGATGTTATTCAAAACATTATCTAAGATATTCCGAAAGTGTTCCTAAATATTGATAAATAACATAAATTTTATATTGATTTGTCATTACAGTAACAAGTGGCATAATGTTATATATACGTTTAAAAAATACCTTCATGTTTTAATTCCTTTATGGTTATATTAATAATTATTAATTGTTGATGAAATTTATTACTATTTACCTTAACTTCGAAACTTTGTAGAAATGGGAAAAAGCCCGACATCTGTTCTAAAATTTTGAACATAGGATACCACGCTATATAATCTGTCTCTTTTGATAAATAATACGTGAGTGTTTTGAATAGCTTGAAATCAAGTTTGTTTGTTGACAAAAAATAATATGCATCATCTATGATTTGAGCACGATTCAGAACTTGTATATTAAAATATTCCGTTAAATTTAGATAGACTCCAAGTTTTTGCCAAAGATCGTCGTCGTAATTAACACGATAGTATCCTGTATATAATGCACAAATTTTATTATTAAATATGCAACAGTATGTAAAATTTTATTTACATCATAGATATAAAAGCATAACATATTTATTGATTTATATTCACCAGTTTGTTGTATATTGACAATGATCCAGTCGCTATCGTAAATGTAAACAAATAAATCTGAATCTGGCTTGTTTAGCCATGCGTTATGCATAACATAAGGATTCCTCTGTTCAATATAAGTTACAGGTATCGGAAAATTTTCGGGGCATGATTCAACTACATATATTTTAAACTTGTTTTGGAAAGGTATTCGCTGCACCTTCAACACGGGATAGCGCTCTTGTTTTGTCCATTGAGTGAATATCTTCATTACGTCCATATAATTAGATTCATCACCCATTAGATTATATTTTATGGCAGCAAAAAACTTTTCGAGAGCAGTAGTCTTAGTATCGATAGATTTAAACTTGCTAAATTTAAAGTAATAAAGTGTTAAAGGCAGATTGCATTATAAATATGTATAAAATGGCTACTTAATTTATTCATATATTATATTTCTATACAATTTTTAATTATAATATCCGTTATTATATCTGATTATAATAAATAATTATTATATTACAGTTGTGTTACTTACTGTTTTGATATATAATCGTCGATACTTATACGAAGTATATCATCAGGTAGAATTTTATCCAATGAACGTATAAAGACAGGTGCTACAACAATTATAATCTCTATTATAAAAAGAATTGGAGTATGTTTAAAATAGTTTAAATACGGTTTTAAATTTTGAAATGTTGAATTAATTCGGTAGAAAAGTGTAAAATTCAAATTCTTAATACATATATTTTTTATCTTACTAAAGAGTGTTTCATAACATATAATTAATAAACATATATATTTATAATCTTGTAATATAATCAAAAAGGGAATTCACATGAAAACATACATCGAAAACCTAGAATAAAATTTTTTCACGCCAAGCCTTGTTCTCGAAAAAAGTGATTTTAAATATTCGCGGAATACAAATTTAATTGATAAGTTAGAAATTAGAGCATTAGAATATCTTAGATGGCCTTTATAAAAGTTTACTTCAAAGGGCAGAATTATATATTCGACAGAACAGGCAACGTTTGCAACAATTTATAAAGCAATAGATTCATATGCGTAAATATCTTGTTTGTTTTTATACTTTTGATTGACCCGGTACAATAATAAAAACAAACATGAGGAAAAATAAAGATCCACAGTGTGGATCCATCAAGTTGAAACATAATTAAAGGTACATATACTCTGCGAGTATAATCGATTCGCTCGAAAGCAAAGCCTCCAGATGAAAAAATTTTATTCTACGTTTTTGATTATCTTTTCACATAGAATCATCCCTTTCCCGATTGTACAATAAGTTCAAGAACATCTTATAAATAAATTATTAACAAATATCATTATAATTTATTTTGCATATATTTTTCATTTTTATATTTAAATTTTTCCTGTGAACAATTATTTAACTACATCTTCTTTTTCTTACCTTTAATATAATGAGTTAAAGAAAAAATTGAATCAATATCAGATGGTGTATCAATTTCGTATATGAGAGACATATTATAATAATCATTCAAACGGAGAGACTCATGTTGAAATTTTACATCAAATAAATCCATTAATTTGGAATATACTGTTGAGAAGTGCTAGAAGTGACAAAAATTGAATGTAATTAAATTGTTGTTCAACCACAACGTATAATAATGCACATTATTCACAATTATTGAATAAAACGTTTTATTCTTATATATATTAAACAAAAATGTTTTATTTCTTAGAAAACTATTCTTACTACTAATTAAAAAATTTATTAACAATTTCAAAAATAAGTTCCAGTTTATAATAAAAATTATCCATGCATTCAAATTATTTGTCGCAAATTTTTATCCCCCAGCCATAAATTACCTCAATTTAAGAATGCGTTTTATTTCAATATATTTTTATGTTTTAGATTATATTGTTAATTAGTTTTTTTAATTATTTAATGATGTAGAAAGTTTATTTATAGAGGACAACCTGATCGACTGTCTTCATTGCCATAAATGTAGCAATACCCTCGTTTAGCCAAAAATGAAACCACGAAGGTTGGGCTATGAGATTGCCAACGTATTCATGTGCGATTTTACGTGCTATCATGAATGCTACTTCCAATTTCCAAGCAATAAAATCTAATTTTTCATCGTAGAGAACATCTGTCTCTCTAAAAAATAATAAAACAACTTAGTTAAAAATCTTATTATTATGTGTATCGAATTTAATTTTTGTTTGATATATAAATGATATCTTTTCAATATACAATGTAAGTGATATGAGCTGTAAATATATATTATTCTATACATTCGGTTATAAGACATTGTATTAAGTTATGTATAAAGTTTTTCCGTTATTTAATATTTAATATTAGAACTAATTTAGTTGAATGTTAAATGCACTTAATGTCGATAACATTAAGTGCATTTCTTCAAATGAAGAAATTCAAATTTCTTTTCTTTATATAAAAGCATTACCTATAAAGGATAATTCCCCAACTTTGCTTGCCTGAGTCTAGAAAACCCGGAACTACAACATGGGTCACTGATTGTGGATGTATTATATCTTCCAATTTTAATTTTAAATAAAGTGCGGTATTCTTAGCAATTGACTGTAAGAATGTCATGTTTTGTTTTACTTGTTCTCTACACCATATGTTTGAGTCATTAACTTGTTTAAGACCGTGCAATACAATCAGTACATTGTGAGGAAATATTTTAACGGTTGGTTTGAAACGTGTCCAATTCTTTTCATGTTTAACGCTGAACATGTTAGTAACTTTTGTATCCGATAAAGCCCTATATCGACCATGCTTTATGAAAATAGTAAAATTCCTGATATTCGGCTCATCCCAGCACGGAAATATCTGTCGGACCCCAACCCCTTGGAAATCAGCTATGAATAACCATCTGTAATATATTTTAACAATATGAATTTTTTAATTTTCAATTATCGTTGGCATATGAGTATTAAGAAAATAAATACTCGGCGCGAAATAGAGTAACGGCATTGTTATTAAATGCGCGCGCGCGCGCGCAATAAGATTTTTATTACAAATTTATTTACTTCGTACTCTAAAAATCAAAGTATGAAGTAAATACATTTTTTACTAAAAATCTTGTAACGCATTAATTACTGCCGTTATCATCAGTTGTCTTATATATGTTTGTTATATTTATTAAGAGATACTATACCGTGTCAACAAATATGTAAGACAACTAATCATAACGGTAGTAATTAATGCGTAAGATTTCCAGTAAAAATTGTATTTATTTCATACTTTAATTTTCAGAGTATGAAGTAAATAAATTTTTAATGAAATTTTTATTGCGCATTTAATTACCGCGCCATTATTCTTAGCTGTTTTATGTTAGTATTTATGTTAAAAAATGTTAATGATATAAATTTAGATTATTATGTAAATTAACTGTAAATATAAAATATTTTTTATGCAAATTTAAAAGTAGAGAGCTATTAATGTTTCTTAAATAATTTTTATCTAGAAAATATACTTAAATTTATTAGATTTATGCTACTCACGACTTTTTGCCTTTATCGTTTATGTAAGATGTCTTGACAATCCCTCTTTTATCATCGGTTACTGTCCCGAGAAATTTCATAGATACTCGATAAGTATCGACGTTTTGTAACAAAGAACAACGAAAAAGAATTTCGATAGCTTGGCTTTCATTGTTTATTTTGTGCTTTATAGGAGCAATCTCATAGTACGTACCATAGGCAAAATAACGAATTTTTGTCGCCGATATATTTATTACCAGACTTTTTGCATGTAGATGTAATATACGTTTTCTATGAATATCTTCAAAAAGTATAGTAGAGTCACCATAGAAAATAAAATTGTCTTTTTTTAGTCGTTGATAAATCTTTTTTTCAAAAAATTCATAAAAATTACTACTATGAAACACCGTTTCATAGTAGTCATACATATATAATTCATTTTTGTAGTCATTTTCGTTATTATACATTACGAAGGTGACGTTATAGGCTATTGGTTTTATTATTTGAACTTTATTATTAAGAGGTTCGTCCGACTTGTTACAGTTAGTAGCAAACGTTACTGAGATAAATATTAGGTTAATGCCTAACAATATTTTTATTAATTCCATCATTCTCATTTCCGGTATCTGTAACAACATTTTTTGTTAAGAGGAAGAAAAGCAAGAAGAGCTGAACAGAGTCTCTATTATAAAGTTATATATGGATACAACAGAAAACAATAAAAGGTATAAAATCAATTCCCGTAATTTTGTTAAAAAAGACTTGTATGAAGAAGCTTTAATAATTTATTTAATATATTGGAATTTTATCGTGTTTTTTTCAAGACTTACGATGTAGTAATTGTAATTTTACGACATTCTTGCAGTTACTTATACATTATTGAATTATGTCTTCTTAATATGTATTTGATTTTAATTAATAATTCTTAGAATAGTTTTTGAATGAATGGATACATTTCTAGTTTAAATAAATTTTGCTATATCATCTTATTAGACATTTTTGATAAATGATATCTATCAATAAGGCATTTTTATTTTTAATACAAATGTAATATAATATTTTAAATTTTTATAATTAAAAGAGTATCGTAACATTTTATCATAATATATGATATTTCAGTATTAATATTACATAACATTCTATTAAACAATAAATATTCGAATTCATTCTTTTAAAGTTATTACAATATTATTTCTTTGACTGTACATACTTTTCATACTTTTATGTCTTGTAACCTGTAACTAAATATATTGTATCGTGTATTAAAGACTAAAAAAAGTTTATATTTGATATACATATTTCCTTTGGAAATTAGTGTTTATTTTTTGTTCATTTGTTTGAAACAAATAAATATCGCGTATAAAGTAACTAGAAATTAACTGGTTCGAGATCATAAATTGAATGCATAAGTACATATGTATTTCGAAAAATTATATAGAGCATGATATAAGCGGTATTAAACGTTTCTTTCCTTTTTCTAACTTTATAATAATAATATAGATTAAATACAATTATTTCAAATTGTTATTAACTTTTTGTTTGATGTTCAGTGATTCTTTTGTTTAAAATTATTTCTAAATGATACAATACACATTTAGAATTTATGTCAACTATGACACACAAATAAATATATACGCCTAAAATCTAATTAAGAATAAATAATACAATTTATAAATGCAGATATCCGCGCGTCAATATAATATTAACGGAAGGAGAATATTAATTGAAAGCTGTATTTCTTTCAACCAAATTACAAATGCGCGAAAATAAAAAAAGCTTTTGCTTGTTTGTGTTGGCCTATTCATTTTTATTTAAATTTATATTTTTTAAAAGCAAGTGAATTTCTATTTTATAGAAAAGTATAATGTTTTTTCAAAATACATTTATTCTTTCAGAATTTAAAAGTTAGAAATTGAAAGAAATAATGCTGCATTTGTACTTTTGCATTATTTAAAATATATATATTTAGTTATATATTTATATCTTTAAAAAGAAGGGCTAAATATGTTTTTTATCCATTACCTTTTACTTTAAAATTGTACACTTGATTGTTTTTGGTAGAAATTTACCGTTAATAGCCGGCCGCTGTTAGTAAGAGACACATGTTTCTTTTAATCAGTTTACTTGTCGGGAGTATACCGAATACTAACGGTGACATCAGTAACTCGTAATAAATACGTGATGTCGTGAAAACAATCTGTAAGGTTATATGTATCTTCAATGACATAATAACTAACTGTATGTATAGGATAACAGATACTTTAGTTACTAGTATAGTCAAATCAATGTTGTTTTTATGTCTCTAATTGATTATTTAAAAAAAAAATATGCATTCGATTTTAATTTCATGTTTTATCTATACGTATATGTATGCGCGTACGTTATATAGATTAAAATATATGATAAATATATTTTATTTTATATTAAGCTTTTTTTCTCTTTTCGCTTTTCTTTTCGAAAATAATTCGACAACATGTTTGTTAAATAAGGAAATTGTGAACCATTTGACGGAGTAGTAATAATAAGTAACAAAATTCTATACATTTTATGATGCATAATATTCAGAGTTTCATATAAATTTATCATAATTTGATCCTAAGTCATTAATTACACTAAATAAAAATAAGAACTTGGTTTATCTATTTTATTGAATTTTGATTAATCTAAGGATCTTACAATTAAATATAGCTTTCATATTATCTAAGTACATGATCCTTTGATACAATCGTGTCTCTCTTGATGTGCACAGTGGTAAATGATAAATTGTTTATTTTTTGTGGTAAATATAAATAATATAAATACAACTTTTTACAAATGTGAATTTATCGTCATTACTATTAATTATTATTTATGGAATTTTATATATAAATACATAGCAACGTCTAAGGTTTCTCAAGTTTGCAGTAGAGCTTGGCATATCGAAGACATTGGCTGTGATCAAAGTCGCGCTACAAATGCTTTGAAGAGTTCGATGGACTAATTAGAAGAAGAAATTTTACAAACTGACCAATTAAAAAACGCTTCAAAGCGTTTGTAGCATCGCGTTGATCGTATCCATTTATCCAATTATCATTTAGATCAGACCTTTCCAATTTGAGCTTGAGTAAAATTTCGAAGACCGTAAAGTGTCGATACGCATCTGAGTGACGCTATTCAACACTTTACAGTCCCCGAGATCTTACTCACATTAAATTTCTTTGCGTCGATGGCTTTGCATTTTGGCTCCGGAGCTCAAATTGGACAGGCCTGATTTAGATCATGCTTTTTGGAAGTCATAAATGAAAAAAATTTAATATTGCAATTGTTTTTATTCTCTTTATATAATTTCAAAACTCATGTACTAATTATATTATAATGAAGCCACGGATATTATGAAATCAGATATTATTAAAAACTGGCCGTGAAAATAATTATTAATAAACAAAATATAATTGAAAATAAGAGTAAAATAAGTAAAATATAAAACTTATTTATACATCTATACATATCTATATATAAACATATATAAATAATCTATACATATAAACATATATAAATAATTATACATTTAATATCGCCAATGACAACTCTCATAAAAAACTCTGGAAATAACTAATATTTCTCGATTTTTAACAATCATATTTGAACTTTCGTCAATATATATAAAGATTTTAAAAGAGAAACACCTTCTACAAAGCTTACCTTCTGTAAAACAGAAAATATCGAAATTCATTATCATTACATAATTTATTCTTTTAAAATATTATTTTCTTCATGGAAAGATAGAGAATATAAGAGATATAAACATAGAATATCTCTTATACATTTAGTTACCATAAGCGATAGATATGTATTTATTATATGGAATTTAATATTTATGAAAATATAAATTCTAAATTAATTAATATAGAAATATGACGCGAAAATCGTATTAAAAAGTTAACGTCACTTTTAATTAACATTAATTTTAATTTATGTATAATTTTGATATTTTAGAATTTCGAAATACGCGATAAAACTTATCTTTTAATTATTATAATTTACTTACTTAACACACATTAACTTATTGAACTCCATGATATTAACATAATCAAAATTCATCGAATGTTTGAGTTTCTCGAGAAGATCTTGATTTCCTCGAGTTCTCAAAACAACCTAATAAGTTATTCTTTTCAGACAAGTGGTCATGTATCTCGTATTTTACGTTCGAAATTAGATATTTTTGATTATCTTTCACGTAATCATTTATCTAAAATAAATTATATTAATATTAACTAACAATTTTGCATTTTATACGATAAAACAAAATAACGTAAATTTACATTTTTAATATATTATCAATTAATATAAGATAACACATAAAAGACATATATGTATAAGAGACAAAGATAAACTTAACAATAAAAAGTTAAAAAATAAACGTAGTGTTTAGATTTAAAACATTTTACCATTGCTAATTGATTTTTGGTGTACATATGTTTAATAATACGCTTTATTATGTCCAAGAAGTTGAGTTCTCTATAAGAAAAAATGAAAGTAATTTATAACTAATTGTACATGGATTTTTATAATATACACTGCAGTACGTATTGATAAAAAAAATATCATTACCTGGGTTTTACTGCTTCAAAATCGGTAAGTATGGCAGAAAGCATATCATCATTGTTTGCATGATATGCAATAGCAGAAAAAAAAATATTGTTGTAATTATCATCTGATATTTCCTTCTTCGATCTTATTATTTTCAAATAGTGCTTGATTACAACTGGTTGCTCAACGCAAGGCAAATATTTTAATATTACACTATCAGATAGGTTATTGTACATATTATACCAAGTACTAGCATTTGTTGTCATTAAACCTCCACAGGCTACCCATTTTTTCAATAAAATTCTACAATATAAAAAAAGAATAAAAATCTGTTATAAAAATTCTATTTTTTAAATTATTATCTCGTATCTTGATTGAATAACAAATATAGCGTCGTGTAAAATACAAAATGTAACAATCAAAATCATGTTTAAACAATAAACTACTTGTGTTTAGTAACGAGAGTCATGTAGTCTTGTAATTCTTTATAAGCTCTTTTTCTACAAGTGTCATCACCAAAGAAACATGCCCATTCCGCAGCTTCTTCTCTCAAAGATATTATATGAATATTATCGTTAACTCGATTGACGTATCCAATCTTTTCAAGAAGATCGTACATGATTTTTCGCATATGTTCCTAAAAATATTTAAATAACGATGAATTTAACGTATCAATTTTTGTTGTTTACATACATATAGAAGCGTCTTTTACGCCTATGTGTGAATACCGTTTATTAAATATTTTATTTTATATATAAATGAATATAATGCTATTCCAAGATTTACGAGTCTGATCGCGCTATATATATGTATATATATACGTATATATACACACATACACATAGCGTTTAAAAAATTAATGAAAATATTTAAAAAATATTATTTTTCAATTGTGTATGTTAATTTAATATGTGATACTTTTTCATTAAGAAGATCTGTTACCTTCATAGATGAAGCTTCTGGATGTGAAAATATATTTGAGTAATTTAAAATGTTTCTAAAAATATTAAACATAGGATACCATGGTATATAATCTGTTTCTTGCGATAGGTATTGTGTAAGTTCTTTAAATATATCACAACCGAGTTGGTCCCTCATAAAAAAATAATATGCATCATCAATGATTTGCGCACGATTTACAACATGTATCTTATTATATTTATCCGAATTTAGATAGCTTGCAAGTTTTAGCCAATTTTTCCTATCGTACATGACACGATAATATCCTATAAATAAATAAATAAGTAATTTTAATGATTATTAAATATTCTTTTGATTTATCAAAAAAGTGTCTGAAAATTATGTATTTATTTCTTTAATCAAAATGTGTAAATAATACCAAAAATTGCACATATAATTTAAAAATTGCAAAGTACTAATTTCATATAACATTTAATGAGTGCAGTTTTTAAAAATTGAACGTAAAAATTAACTGTGTAAATTTAAATAGAGTTAAATAATGATTAAATTGTATACAAAATTTAATGTATTTTACTTTGCTTGCAACAATTAATCATATATCAATTTTATATGTTATACATATAGTATAATGAGACATATTATATATTTTGAGCATAAAGAAATAAAAGATACAAATGAAACTAAGGAATAATGTTAAACTTAAATGTGACACAGAAATAAAAGTGAAATAAATTCGAATATTCACCAAGTTGTTGTAAGTTGACTATAATCCAATCATTTACATCAATTGATGGTAAGTGTATAAAAGACTGTTCAGAGGTTATCCATTCTTGGAAGAAAGGTGTAATGTTAAAATTAAGCTCCGTTTGCGTAGTGTAGGTCACAGGTATCAACCATTCGTGCAGTTTAGATATATTATGTATTTCTGCCCATATTACCGTGCTACCATCATTATAATTTCGTGTCGCTTTTAATATAGGATATTGATCTTGTGTTATCCAAAAGTTCATCATCTTTTTTATGTTCAATCCGTTTTTGTGATTAGATTCATTCAGAGCAGTTTGCATAACGGCCCATAAATCGTCGGCAGGTGTTGATTTAACAGACACATCGCTCATACAGCACCGTAAGTTGCAGCAACATTGGTGTAACGTTTCCAATGTTATTGCAACATTGCTGGAATGTTGCAATTCTCCGATATTGCCGATATGATCTACCCTATATGAATTGAATTTATAAAATTTTGATACTGTTAACAGTAAACATCACAATAGATTTCATTAAACCAAACAACTTATGATACTTTATATTTATCCTGTATACTTTCAGATAATACTTACTGGTTGTTTAAATAATTGCAGATACCCTTTCGAAATACCTCGTCGGAAATCATATGATATAACATGCGCAATAAAGCGAACGCTACAATGATTAAAGTATATGATAAATTATTTAAATGTTTACAATAAATTTGTCTTATTGTCCATATATATATATATATTCTTCGTGAATATGCATAATTTGATTTTCAAAAATTAATTTATATTTTAGATAAATTTTTTTCTTTTATAGCAAAGTTAAAATGAATTGTAAATAAATATAATGAATAATTCTATTGTAGATAATTATTCTTATTTATTTATGACATTGATGATCAGGTTGTTAATTGTTTAATTACTTATTTTTACCTTTATTGTAACGAAAAGAAGAAAAGAATTTGATGTCATAGGGTTCTTTAATTTGAAATACAATAGATGGCATATTAGTGACAGATTCCAAATGAAGAGATTCACATCGAGTCCAAACTACGAATAAATCCATTATTTGAAGATCTGTGAAAATCTAAAGACAAACATTTTAATATAATTAAATGAATATTTGATTGAAAGTAATTGGATTTTCGAATTAGCAATTTATTAAAACAATTTGGAAAAATTTCTTGTAAGCTTTTACTATATCATTCTAATTTTATAAAACGTCGATTTCGTGTGTGTTGGCTGATTGCTTATTCATAATTTAAATTTTATAAGAACAGTTGCACAATGTGTTCTATTTTTAATGAATAAGCTTATAAAAATTTAAAACTTTTCATATTGTGATATTAACAAGCATTTTTCTTTTAACTGCGTAAACAAAGCCAATGTTTAATAGCGCGAATAATATATATGAAGAAGACAACCTTGTCGACAACATGCATTCCCAAAAATGTTGCAATGCCCTCGTTTATCCATATGTCAGACCAACTAGATAGGGTGATTTTATTAAGAAATTGATTTGCCACTTTACGTGCTACTAAGGCTGCAACTTCTGTCTTGCGCTGAATAGAATTCAATTCCTCAATATAGCTAATAGCTTCTTGACTAAAAAACAATTAATAAAGTAAATACTTTGCTTACATTAATCTAATTAATTTGTCAAAACCTCTTCTTTAGCATATCCTTAAATATTTTTTTGAAAAAAAAAACAAATTAAAGAAAAGTATAGTAATGTTTTTTTAAGATTTTCGCGAGTATTTGCCTCAAAGATACCAAAGAATTTGCGAATTATTACCGTGCCATGATCTGTATTATAGATATATTGATAAAGTGATGTATCAGTGCGCTCCTCGCCCTGATGAAGTGAACAACAAGGTTCACGAAATGTTGGCATTAGCAATGGATCACGACGCGGAGATAACCAGCAAATCCTCTGACATTTTATAAAAAAGTACAATTCATTATATATTACCTATACAAAATGAGTCCCAAATTTGGCAAGCCGTCGTCTCGATAGTACGGAATTGCTACACAATTCGTTTGTGATATATTATTCATATTCTGGAAATATTTATCTTTCAAATATATAGTAGTATTTTCAGCAACGTTCAAAGCAAAATACAGCTGTCTTGCTATTGTTAAATCTCCGCTGTACAACAGCGGAACGTATGCTTTCTTAGAATAAAGCGTAATCAAATCGGCCACTATAATTGCGACATGATAGGGGTGTATTGCAGGAGTAGTTCGAAAATTTGACCTTATTACACCAGCTTTAATGATCTTTATGCTTGCTACTGGCATATTTGATAAAGCAGTATAATGTTTTGGATGATCAACGATGATGTCAAATGTGGCTTTAAACATTAAATCACTTATAACTGGAAATACATATTGCACTCCGATAGTATTCTGAAAGTCACCTGCTGAGTAAATCCATCTATCACATTTTAATAATATATCTTGTTAATAAATTTGGCATACAAATATTTAAATAAAGTGATAACATTAAAATGATTACAGGTCAAACTAGATTTTAGTACTATGTTTAACCGCATACTATTATAATTGTTATAAAATAAAATAAAATACAAACGTTTTGACCTCTATCAGATTATCCTCAGTGTGTACGAAAGTAATTCCGAATTATTAAACATATAACGGAATTCGGAGTGTTACAAGTTGGTTACATTAAATTTTCAAAAATGCTTGCAAAGCTAATATAGACTTATTAAATAATATAATTACATTGAAAGGGGTTTTTACACATACAGCACATATTTTTAATATTTTAATATGTACTCACTTAAGATTCTGTTCACCATCTTTATACGAAGTTATGATAAAGCCATCAACATTTTCGTGACTAATTATAGTACCATTGTACTTCAGTTCGAGTATGTAAGAACCAATCGTTATCAATTCATTAAAAAATAAGGAACAAATAAACGATAGATAACGACAAGAATAAGTCGACGATAAATAAAACTTTTTTGTTATTTCGTGAATTAATTTAACCGGTTCATTTACGTTTACAAACGCTGAATGCAAATCTATTTGCTGCGTAGGGTCACGTACAATAATGTTAATGTTGGATTTGCCATAAAAAATATAGTTTTCGACAGTCATAGGAAGTGTTATTTTGATGTCATAATGCAATGCTATTATGTGCTGTGGTAGATGATTAAGCGGGTCATGTTTCGAATTTTTGCCGGTAACAATAGTTGTCGTAATGAAGAATATTAAATTGCTTTGTAGTAACAGCTTTAAGAATGTCATGCCGTTTATCATTATGGACATCTGTAAGTACATGTTTTTCCCGTTAAAAAAACTAAGATATTAAGTACAAGATTATTTTAAATAAATTTTTGTATTTAAAAACAGAGGAAAAGGAAATAATTCGAATAAAATTTTATCTAAATGCATTTTCATTTTAATTTAAAACATATAAACGGTAATGTAAAAGAGTTATATATGGAATGTCTGATAAAATCGTATATATTTTCTCTATTTCTCCTATATATATATATATATATTCGAAATGACATATTTAAATATTATTTCTCGATAACTCACCTTTTATATTAAATTTACGTACCGATAAGAATCAATTCCGAGTATCAAGGTAACGCATTTTATCAACGTGGCTAATCTTAAAATATGTCGACCTAACTGTTCTTGTCGTTCTGAGAGACTACAGAACACTAAACAATAATATAATGCCAGCACCGGCAGCACCTGATATCATCAGAAGTTACACGGTGGTATGTAAACAAACTTTAACCTAAGAGTAGCCATTTTTTTACTTAAAAATTGCCTAAGTTGTTTTTGTTGCAGCTCTAAATTAAATAATTATTATTGATAATATATTGTATACTGTTCATTGTTTCTCCCCCCCCCCCCCCCAATTATTGGTATTTGAGAACGTCAATGGATATGAAGTTAGTCATTTTCTGAAGAATGTAATAGACACCAAATAAATATCAAACAGAATAAGCAAATAGCTTATTATATAACAGTATTACTAAAAAATAAAAGTTTAATTTAATATCACTTTTTTATTGCGATTTATAAGAAATAGTTATTAAAAACGAAAGCAAATATGTCCAAAAAGAGAAATGAAATATTAATTTTACAACAATTCACATTTGCTCGCCGCTGGAATATAAAAACCAGTAGTGACTATCCTGGGTTAAGTGGATAGAAAATGACCTGGTCGATAGATTAGATTATTAGATAGAATCAGTATTTGGACGATACAAGTTTTTCCTTAAAATAGATTTAACAAATTTATGATACTCAAATTTTCTAGATATTAAATTAAAATGGAAATATTCGAGAACTGAAATAATGAAGTTGGGCGATACGAAAATTGTTACGTTTTAAAGGTAGTGCAATATAAATTTTAAATATTAATAAATACATTTTTTCTATTTTTTATAAAGAAACTTTTATTAAATAACATCAATAATTCGTATAATTAACATTCTATATACACTTTTATTTATTAATCCATGACAATCTAGCATAAATTAACATTAACTAATAAATAAATAAATAAATAAATAAATAGGTAACAATAATTATCACAATCGATGTTCTTTTATGAAATTCTTCAGCGCAGAGTAATGAAAACTGACGAAATATAGATGTGTAGTATAACGAGGCACAAAGTTTCTTTCTTCTAGAATTATCATGGACGTTTATTATAATATAGGTATATCCTCTTTAGTTTCCTTTTCTGCAGCTTCCTACAATTTTCTTTAAAGATTTGTGTCATTTATTTTATGTCAAATGCAAACAACGTAAGAAAGTGCAGCTAAAAAGAACAGACCTTGTTTATAGCCTTTTTTTACTGAACATCATTTTCCGATGCGCTTGCTAAATCGCTCGGAACAATATAGAGATTGGAATGCGTTCACAATACCCGTAAAGTTGTCGTCAGATTATCAATACTTGTAAGAAATATCAATATTCTTTTTAATATAATATTAATAATTAATAAATTTCACAACGTGTCTATTTAAGTATACATTGTCGTTTTAGTGCACTGTTAACATTTCAGTCTGTAACAACTATATTCGCATATAACGTAGAATTCTTATCGTTTGGATACTTAAAACCCGTGTCACACACAATGAAGATTGCAAAATAAAGAGTAGAATTCAGCCAATCAGAACAAAACGGATTAAAATTAAAATTAATTATCTGACTGGTCGAAATAATCTCTACTTCGCAATCCTCAATCTCCAATGGGTAGTGTGACACGGGCTTAAGGATATTTCACGATCGGCAATCCATATCATACTTGGAAACCGATCACATTTCGTTGCATGAATTTCAAGTGCCTTCAATATTTTTTTTTATAATAACTAATATTGAAATGTAAATTTAAAATTACTTGTTATTTTTGAGCAATATGAATTTTTCTCTCAAAAGCCGTTTTTCATAATAAATAATTTTGTAAATGCAAAATTTATAAGTTTTTGTAGGCGGAGCAGATAAATAAATTTTGCATATTCTATATAGTAATAATATATGCAGTTTGCATAAAGCAGTCTACTCGTTTTGAAACTAAAATTTTTTTTCACAATATTAATAATATCATCTTATTCGATTCAACTCGAAAATAATAAATAAATATAAATTAGAAATTATATACAAATAATTTCTCTGTGAATACCAGAGTACTAAATGGAATTATTTATGAAATTTAAAATTTAGCGAATATGATTATACGTATAAACTGTCCAACTTCAAATCATTAATTTGTGGACATTTCGACAAGACTACCTTTGAGTCTGCTTCTTATGCGTGAGTTTTTGTAGTTTTGCTTTCAATCCGTGCGGATTTAATTTTACTCTTACAACATCGGATTTGTTTTCGAACTTTTTACGAATTGCCTCCAGTCGTTCCTTTCGTATTCGTTGCTGTTCCCTCTTCCAGATGTCCTGTAAAATACTGATCTGTTGTAATTTGCTCGATCAATAATTTCAGACGCTGTAAATTATACCTTAAAGTCACGACAGAAACTAAGCCACAGATTAAAGAAGTCGTAAGGTTCTGCAGTCTCCAGGGTGGAGCCTTTAGGAATAAATTGATAGAACTTCAAAGCAGCTTTGAATTTGTTTTTAGCCTCCAGTAGATCTTCTTTTTCGCTCGCTAATTCGGTATTCGCCCTTGATAGAAATGAACCTACTTTCTTTTTGAATATTTTGGACGTAGATGGATCTGCTTCCACAATTGTACTACACATTTGTGCACATGCTAAAACAAATTAATTTCATATATCGTATATATATTTGCGTGAATTATATTTAAAGCTGATCCAAATAAAGCAAACGAGTGCGAATAAATACAAAAAAGAGTAATTACTTCAATGAGTACAACAATTTCATTATTCGCACCCGTTTTCTTCATCTGAATTCGGATTAATACTATTTCTGTAAATAGTAATTTAATTTTTTAAAGTATGTAGTATTAAAGCCGTAAGTTGTGGAATTGAGCCTAAAAGGACCAAAAATAACTTACATAATGTGCATAAAACTTATATATATTTATTTATATAATATTAATGATATATAAATGAATTAGAGGAGAAAATGTGTGTAAATTTTATCAAATATTTTAATAAGAAATCTGACATACACACACAAATGTAATTATAATGTTCATTCCTTTATATATTTTATGTTTACCAAATCCTTAAGTAAGATAATACTTTATAAACAAAAAAATGAATATACAATAGAAAATATAAAAATAAAGAATATAAAAACATAGAGAATATAAAAATAGAGATATAAAAATTTGTGATTGACAAAATACTGATAATACTATATGTAACACTCACATTGTAATTCTCTATCCAATCTATCCAGTTCTTTAGCGATCTCATCAAATTTGATTGTGGATGCCGCTTCTACGTCAGCCGGTTCAGGCACAGGCAAAGGCAATAGCTCGTCGAAATTATGCTCCTTTTCCTGGGACAATTTTGCATTGACGACGTAGTGCAACAAGGTGACGCCAGGTACGTTGGACTTCACGTCTTTCAACTTGCCGAGGATTTCTAGGCCGAAGCCATCGGCCTGGCCGCGCAGCATATTTCCGCCATTCATATAATTGCCCAAGGTCAATATGATCGCTATTACTTTTTTTAGAGGCTCGGAATTGATCAGAAAATCACAGGTAGTTCGCACATTGTTCAATTTATACGACACTGATGATATCGCGTCCTGGAATTCCGATTGCAACATCAGGCAGGCTATCCTTTCGGAGAAGTGCTTTATACCGGACAGCCGTTTGAGAAATAATTCCGGTTGATCGAGAGGAATGTCCGGAAAAATTGCTTCATGAGCTGCAATTTCTTCTATTTCCTTTTGCGTCGGTTTCTGCAAATCAGAAAATATCAAAATGATTCGGAATTTTCTGAAATTAATCTATCAGAAAATAAAAAAAAAGTGTATTTGCAAATATATACTTCATATTTTGCATTTTTAATTATATTTTTATCTCACAGTTTACTCACAATTTCGTAGATCTGTTGCAACGCTTCTAAACTAATCACGCTCGTGTCTAAATTATAAGCCGCATTCTCGATCTCGCTAAAATCAATGTGCAGACTCTTTTCAAGGATTCCGACCATCTTTGAGCGTTTCGAGTCTAATATTTTTGCAGGTTGGATCTTAGAACTTTTGAGAGGTGTCCCTTCATTTTTTTTGGTCGGATTCCTTTCTCTCACCTGCCTTGAAAATAAATTAGCGAACTCTTTCATGTTTAAATTCTCCTCCTCCGCAAGTTCTAACCACAGAGGCACCTAAATAAAACAGCACAAAAATAGCCACTCTTGTAAAAATCACCATTTTATGTCATTAGCGAATTTTATTATATTACAGTGTTTATTTTTTGCTAACCTGTGGTGATAAATCTGAAGTACTCGATGAAGTTTGACTGGCCGCAGTAACTGGTACCAAAATCCTCGTCCAGTATAATGGTTTCATAGGCACGTCAGGATTTAAAGGTTGCTTTCTCATAACTACAACAAAAGGGAGGAACTTGTGTTACGCGGTGGAAATATCGGAATCTTGAAGCCGAAAAGAGTGTACAGTGTACTCTCGATTAACAAAAGGAATTATCGAGAGTATCCTGTACTTTTTAAATCATGATACCTACTGGCTCTGCTCGGCGGGTTCCATCCTCCGATCGGTGGAGCGGGTAAAGGACAAGGTCCCATTGCTCCCGGGGGTGGCGGCGGTGCCACAGGCGGTAGTGGAGGACCTGCACCTGAACCTCCAATAGGAGGCGGTGGGGGTATACCATCCTGCATAGGCATACCTGGAGGCGGTGGCGGTGGTGGGGGACCAGTCATAGAATTCTGCTCCATTCCAGGTAACGGTGGTGGCGGTGGAGGTATCGCGCCAGTAATGCCCGCAAGTGATGGTGGCGGAGGTGGCGGCGGTGGTATCCCGCATGTGTTTAATATCGGCGTAGACGGCGGTGGTGGCGGAGGAGGTATGGTAATTTTCATAGAAGACATCTCGCACGTTGCACTTTGAGGAAGCATAGGTGGTGGCGGTGGAGGAGGAGGAGGTATGCCAATCTCATCGTTCTGCACCGGTTTGAACGGAAATGGGGGCGGAGGTGG